TCCAAATAAGTTAAATCTTTGTTCCACACACTTCCAAAACTGTGGCACAATGTTACCAGTGTGGCAGCATGATTCTGATGCTCCTTTACAGGAGCAGCAACTCAATCAACGACAAATTAAATAAGAGCTATGCATGTGGCTTGGACTGTGGTAATACACAGTATGCAAATGTTAATCATTACTAAGCCAAAGTTAAACATTATTTCTGTTAACTGTATATCTTTTAGTGCAGGTAGAAATCTCTTTTGAAAGTCTTCCTTTGTTTTCTTTTTGTTATACGGATGCAGATGTATGAATGGTTCATGTTACATGTGAAATTATACTGTGACCTATAATAATAATAATAGCTATAATAATAGCCATTGCTATATTTTGTTATCAAACCAGATTCCAACTAAATTTAAGAGCCAAGTCTGTCTGTAAAATCTACCGCAAGCTCCACGATTTTGGCCCAGAATTCCCACTCTCCAGTGTTTTAAGTTTTTTCTTTTTCCAGGTCATCTGTTCTATGGAGAAAGGAGATATAGCCATCTGGGAGATTAGCATATATATTTTATGAAGCACAGTAGAGCTCTCTCTTCACTGACTCAGATGATAAAGACCCAGATTTGCAGCCTGCTTCCTAGCTAGCACAGCACAGTTCATAAAGCTTCTGTTGCCAGTGGCTTATCTCTCTCCCTGCATGAAGAACAAACCCACACTAAAGTGATGTTTTCAAAGCAGTACTGTCCTAAAATGGGGGAAAAAACACAGTCCAGTTTTACAGCCATGTAGAGGCAATTTTTAATGACAGACGGATCCATTTGTCAGTGAAGTTTACGTTGTTTCAGTAGGAATTATCCGCAATTGATCAAACAAATCTGGCTACTGGCATGAGATTCATCTCCAGAGCAGTATATATGGCTCTATCTGTGGATTTAAGCACGTAAGACAGCTGAGGTACGCCTTCTGAAATGTATAAAAGCCAAATGAGAACATCAGTGCTGGGTTAATTTAAGATGCAATATAAAATACCAGAGGATGTAAAAGGAGTGAGCTGCAATAAGCAGATGTGCCAAGGGGCATCTCCTTAATCTTTTATACTTTCTTGCTGTGCTGGTAGAGACGTGCTTTCATACAGTTGGAAGTACAGTGTGTTTCTAGTACTGCAGTGCAGCTGCACTGTGCTGATACTCTTTCTTTTTTTCCTGGACATTCCTCTTCCTTTTGTGTGTGGTGTTTTGTTTTGTTTTGGGTGGGGTTTTGTTTGTTTGTTGGTTTGGGTTGGGGTTTTGTTTGTTTGTTTGTTTGGTTTGTTTTGTTTTGTTTTTTATCATTCTGTTTTTTTCCCCTCACAGAGCACAGATACTAGGAACCTAGACTTGCCAACATTTTGATATCCAGTGTAGATTTATAACTATGGACTTCCAAGTGTTAACATGTTATAGAACTGCTAAGTCCAGTGAAGAGAGAGGAAAGACATTCATTGAAAGAAAGAATATTAGTTTGATAGTCTGCACAAGCCTCTAGAAAAGTCAGGACAAGAGCTGAGATCATAATCCTAAATTTATATTAATAATGGTATTGAATAAGCTGAGTACTTTCCATTGTTTCTTAAAATAAGGATTGGGGATAGACTGGCGGTTTTGTCTAATGTCTAATAATTTGTTGGTATTTTTAAAACGTGGATGCAAAAATGAGTCTGAATTAAAAGCTTTGATCCAAAATTCCCAGTTTGGAGGAAGTTTGAACTACATTCAGAGTATCATCTGCATTTTTCAGATTAACATTTCTTCTTTTGAAACATATTATAACAAAATCCATGTCCAAATTTTGAGAAGCACGGGGTGTGTATTCAAATACAGATTTTAAGAACTGGGAAAAAATACATTCTTATTAGAAAATGTAAGAGAAAAAAACTTTCAGTGTAACATTTGGGCTATATATTCATCAGAAGGCATGTGCCACTTCAAAAATCTTTCTGTATCTTGCAAATGCTAAAATGTCGTCTTTCACAGACTGCATGCAGTCAGTCTTTAATGTTCTTTTCTTTTACCTTTTGCCAGCTACTGAAATATGAGCTTCATATCCACTGACTGTTCTATTTACCTTGATGCTAAGAACAGCCTATCCAATCTGGCCAAGTCTTTTCATTCAGAAACCAGTCTGGCACGGCTGGTAAAAGATGCCAAGAGAAGTCTGTGAGAGTAGGAAAATCCTATCATGGCTCTTCAGAGCATTTCCCTGGACACTCTCCCAGCTTTAGGCACTAGCTGCTCTGGGCTTCCTGAGCCAGTCACACCGTTTCTGTAGAAACAAACACATCATCGGGGGAAAAAAAAAAAAAAAAAAACCAAAAAAACAGGGTGTGGGGGAAGCAAGATGCCTTTTGAAAAGCAAAGCTGTGTGCTTCGATATCAAGGCGTTCCACAAGATGGCAGCGTTCTGTCTTGGCAGGTCCCTACAGCAAGCAACCCAAGCCTCTACAGCAGTAATTTTTCTTCTATCATAGTTCTGACAATTGGTAATACAACTCTACGTTAAAGCTACCAGTGCTCTGATCAAAGCAGTGATCAAAATTGGTGGGAAACAGCTGAAAGACAGGAGGCCTCTATTTTCTTATCATCTCACATTTTTGTATTACAACATTTAAAGCACAATAGTCACATAAAGCATAATAACTTCTCACTGTGTGAAATAAAGAAATATGTTTTTTCCTAAATAAAATTGGACAGAAAAATATTACATGCAACTGCAGCTGTTTTAACTAGGGACATTAACATCAGTCCTTCATGTTCCATCCCAGTCATCTATTATTTGAAATCCCAAAATTATGACTACAGCTATTTGTTATCCCCTGTCTTCATGATCAAGACAAGGTAACCTAACTACGGGATGTTGCTGAAAGACCCAGGCGTGCTATCCCTTTCACCTGTCCCGCTTCCTTGTGCTGGTTTTAATGACTGTGCATACAGTCCTCATGCAAGTCATATCAGCTGATTGTAAACTAGCTGCTTTTACTCAGAGGCTTAGCTTTCAGCTAGGTAAATGATCTGAAATGGCTCCACAGCCACGCAGTTGCAGTCACTACTGCTGCAATCAGTAAAGCAGGTCAAGCATGTGATGAGGGGCAAGAAAGTCCCTTTCAGCAACAGAGCAGTATTGGATAGGCCTACGTTAGGTTTGAAAACACACCCTTAAATAACAAAGGAACAGTGGAGAGGATGCATCCTCTGTTCTGCCCCCATTGGCAAGAGGCAATGGAGGTAGAGGTGAAAATCTAATGCTCAATTCCTAGTTAGTTATTCAGTTGAAATTTAGTGCTGCAGCAGCATCTTCCATGTGTTACAATGAAATTTTAGTTCCAACCTCAACTAGGTATATTTATATAGATATTTATATATTAATATACCAGCTCTTTCTAGGCAAGGTATTTTCAGTTTCTGTGAGAAATAAAGGCCCTGAAGTTTGTGAAAAAAAGTGAGAAACTAGAATAATTTTAGTTGCCTGTAGGGCTCTTAGCAATACTTGTTACTAGTTTTCAGCTAAGTGGGGTGTACTCCCAGAAAGCAGACAAGTAAATTCAAATATTTTACTAACACTGATAAGGATTTTTAATGACCTCAGAGCATGTTACACTTAAGATCTTCATAATTCTTTTAAAAGCCTAAACCCTGGTGATTCCTAGAAGAGCAGCAGCACAGTGCTAAAACAAGGATAAATAAATACACAAAATCACAATGCACAAAATTTAAAGAATTATTACTCTGTACATAAAGCAAAAGAGAGGCCTCACTCAGGAATAATTTGTTTGTTTGTTTTAATTCATTTTGCAGAGAAGAATTGAGTAATTGCATTTACTAAACACTAAAGAGTAATTAAGCCCTAGGTAAGTGGCAAGACATCAGGTGTGGTCAGGATACCTGGAGTTCTCATTAGGCTTCAGCAGGCTTTGTTACGACTAAGCATGAACAGGGACTTTTCATTTCCAGTTTTACCACTGAAAATCGAATGATGATTTTTAAAGAAAACTGGAGTGAAATAGAAACAAAATCTCCCTATAACACCATCAAGAGCAAACAGATTCCATTTGCAAGGTTTGGCTTTTCACAAGCTGTAAAAACCTCGGTAGCAGGGAGGAGGAATTTGGATTTTCAGGACCGAGAAGCTACATGCTGATTTCAAGAGTGAGAAGTAGATTCTGTTTATTTTTAACAAAGGCAAGGATGCACCCAGGTTAACCTCGTGCTGAAACCACCTGACACCTGCGCTTAAGCACAGACCGAGTACGGCGGAACACGGAATAACTGAACACAACTGAATACCTTGGTTTGGTTTCTGGCCCAAGCCCACGCCCCAGACGGCTACCCCGGGGCAGTGACAGCTCCCCGGGTGCGGGGGGGACACCCATTTCGGGGAGGGCGGCGCTGCTGCCCTCAGGTGTGCGCTGCCTCCGCCCGGCAGGGGGCGCCCGCCTCGCCCCGGCCCGCCCCGCCCTCCGGCCGACGGCTGGAGAGGTCGCCCCGCCCAGCCCGACCCCGGACCGTGTCATGCCCCTTTCCCCAGCCAATGAGAAGAGGAGAGGGAGGCGGAGCTCGGAGAGCGAGGCCAATGGAAGGCGAGCGCTGAGCAGGCGGGGGCCAATCGAGAGGACACCGGTGAGTGCGCGACGCCGGGGCCGGGGCCGGGGCCGGGTAGGGAGGGGGCGTGGCCAGGGGGGCGCGAGCCCTCAATCAGGTGAGGGCGGCGCTGACGGGCGGCGGCGGCGGCCAATGGCGATGGCCAGTGGCGGGTCGGGGGCGGGGCCGCGCTGCCCTCAGCGGCTGCCGCCGAAGCTGCCAGAGAGTCAGGTGGCTCCGGGATGCGCGGCGCTGGCGGGAGGCGGAGGCGGGCGCGGAGGAGGCGGCGGATTGGGGGGATGCGGCGACACTTTCACGGCACATACTTCCTGCTGTCGCCCCTGCCCGCGCTGGGCTGAGGCGGCCTCGCGCCGGGATTCCCCGGCAGCGGCACCTGGTGCCGGCGGGCGCCGGGCCGCATGAACAATAGGCGGCGGTCCCGGCCCCGCCGTCCCCCGCAGTGCCCGGCTGCCGCGGGCGCCTCCCCCTATGGAGCAGCCTCGCCATGGAGCCCCTCACCGAGCTCAGCCAGGAAGGCGCGGGCGGCGGGGAGCCGCCGGGCGGCGGGCCGCTCTGGACCGCCGTCTTCGAGTACGAGGCGTGCGGCGAGGACGAGCTCAGCCTGCGGCCGGGGGACGTGGTGCAGGTGCTGTCCCGGGACTCGCACGTGTCCGGCGACGAGGGCTGGTGGACGGGCAAGATCGACCAGCGCGTCGGCATCTTCCCCAGCAACTACGTGAGCAGCGGCGTGCCGGGAGGCGGCCCGGAGCTGCGCGCCCGATACCCGCCGCCCCCCGCCATACAGCGTAAGGAGGCCCGGGCCGGGGCGGGGGGCTCGGCGGGGCTCCTCCGCCGGGACGGAGGGAGCCGGGGGAGGGGAAAGAGGCGCGGTCACGACGCTCCCTTGGGCCAGACGGGGGTAGGTCACCGGGGCAAGGGGGACCGGGCCGGCGGGGCTACGGAGGTGGGGCAGGGGGAGCTGCGGCCCGACCTTCCTGAGGTGCCCGGGGGAGGCGGGACTGCCGCCGACGGGGGAGGCCCGGGCCGGCCCTGCGGTGGGTCCTGGAGGGAGCCGGGTCCGCCTTGGAAGGGGAAGGGAAGGCCCATCCCAGTGGCGAGCGGCCGTGGGAGGCCGCGGGCCCGGCCGGCGGCGGGGGAAGCTGGGGCGAGCGGGCCCTGCTATGGCCCTTAGCGAGGAGCGGAGGGGCTGCCGCGGCTCGACCCTTCTCGCCCTGAGGCTGCCCCAGGACCCCGGTCCGTTCCCTTTCCCACCCGCGGGCGCATTCCTGCTGCACCAGTGCCCTTCTGTCTTCCAGGCTAGCGCGCCGCTCCAGGGAGGCCGAGCCTCGCTCAGTGTGTTATTGGGGTTTCACCGGCGCCAGAAGCAGTTTCCCATTGTTAAGTCATGTGTTTCCAGAGGCTGATAAATTTTCATCAAACGGCTGAAGCCTGGCGGCTGTGCAGTGGTGGTGTCACTGGGGGCTCTGGTGACTCTCCCTTTAAGAATATCCTTAAGGAAGGGTTGCTGGATAGAAAGCAGTTGCTTTCTGCAGTGTTGATTCACTACTAATACTTGTTCAGTATCTTCCTTCCTCCTAACCAAACGCTTATTATTGCTGACTGAAAAATTCCTAAGTTGACTTGTCTTACCAAGTTCCTCTGCTCTCGTACAAATTTTCTCCTAAAATACCTGTGAATGAGTTCTATCTGCATTTGGGTGGCTAGACCTGCCTGAGGGTTTCTTGACTAAGTTGTGATGCTGAAGGCATGAAGGAATTGGTTTGTTTCTGTGAACTTCTTGGCAGTTTAAAAGCCTTTGTCAGGGACAGAGAATAGGGCTGTTTCGTCTCTACATTGTTTTAGCCACTACATACAATTGTGGAAAGAGAAACAGCATGGGATGACTGTTTCTGGATCCTGTTTATCTATCACTGTTGACAATTCAGGCAAGGATAATGCTTTTTTTTTGGCGAGCAGAGAAAAATCTTCAGACTAGTAGGCTTTTCTAGAAAGTAAAAGAGTGAAAAGATGCTTTGTCCTATGTAGGTCGTATCTCCAAGGAATACAACTAATAGCTTTTTTTTCTTATTCTGTGTTCTGCTTGAAAGTATTTAGGTAAAACTCTTTAATTTGAAGCATTGCCCTTGGGCTTGTGAAAGGACTAGGTTGGTAGTGGTGGTCCTTTCTTTCTTGCTGCTACAGTATAGATAAATTATTTTTTCCCCACATGCAGAAAACGCTATGAATTAATCTCAAAGGTTTTGCCTTTGAGGTAGTTAGGAGAACCATTTCCACAGAACTCTTTGAACCCTCAGCTCCCATCCTATTTTGAGTGTTCAAGTGCAGGCTTTATAACTGGGGATTCTCCTGCCTTGCTGCATTTTCTGTGGTTTGACAGTTTGGGAGCAGTTGTGGAGTTGTATCTTCCCCCTTTACCCTTGTCTTTCATGCCACACCAGGGCTACAATACTTCTCTTCTGTCAAGTTACCAACCTTGATGATGATCATCATCTGTTCATGGCAGAGTAGAACTTACTGCCCTCCAATAGGTGTGTATAATGCCTAAGGAGTGTGTTTCTTTCTTAAAAGAAACAATGCAATTTGGACAGTCTTGTTAAAGTTGGCTGCTGTTGAATTGGATTTTCAAGTTTAATGTTAGAAATCCTTTGCAAGGAATGATACTGCCTTTTACAGCTGATGATGTTAGTTTGTTAGCTGTTTGGAATAACAGTCTACTCTTACTGGACAGTGAACTGTTAACGCTTTGCAGGAGTGACACAAAGCGTCATTCTAGACATACACCTCTGCACAGAAAATATTTTTACTTGCTTTCATAAAGTTTATCTTCATGTTTAGTGGTGGATTAGGAGTATAAATCCTTGAGATTCTGCTTTCACTGAGAGGTGAACTAGTATGGCTGGTAATTTTCGTCATCCCATTAGTGTGCCTGAACCTTGCCTTAGAGAGGCAAGAATGATAAAAGGAGCCTGTAGAGGCTGTCAGCAGTGGACCAACTTGAAGGACCCTCATCTGCAGTGAGGGCTCTTATACGCTTCAAACTGAATTAAATAGCTTAATCATATGGTATAGTAAGTGCTGATTAAAAAGCATCTGCTTTGCAGTTGTCAACATAGCCACTGGTTCATGGTGTACAGGTTCTGTAATTCCTTATCAGTCCCTAGGGGAATGTTAATGCTTCATTTCTTAAATTCTGAGGCAAAAAATGCCCCTTAAACGTTCCTATTGCCTGTATATTCCAGTACAAACATCTGCCAGATTATGGTGGAGTTTAGAGGTGGGGTTAGTGTGTTTAGAAATATGAAGAAAACGAAGTATTTTGTGCCCTAATGTAGCTGTATAATTCAGTCTTTGAAAACAAAGAAGCTAATTCAGCACAAAATAGCTTTAAAAAAAAAACCAAAAGCAAACCACCAAACCCCCCCCCCCAAAACAAAAAAACCCACACCCAAAACCAGAAAAAACCCCACCCCAGAATATTTTTTATTAAAATGTGGGATTTTTCTGATGAAGCTACACATCAGGGTGAGCTGGGCACTCTGCCTTAAAGAAACAGACATTTTCAAAGTTAAAGCTAAGGCCATACTTGCAAATATAATAACATTCTGTGTCACACATGACATCTCATCCGGAAGCTGAAGTCTCTCTGTTTTACGTCTCAGCCCTGTTAACTTGTGCATCCAGCGGGCATGTGCTTTTTCTGACAGAAAATGGGTGACGGCACACAAAAGCTTCTATCCCTTCCATCCCTTCGGTTTCCTTTGCCCATCTCGCTCTCCTGCCTGACCCCTTCCTGCCGCGTTTCTCCCCTGCACGGCCGCGGGGCCGTCCCGTCCCTCCGCCCCGCCGGCACCGCTGCCGCCGGAGCTGTCCCTTCAGCACCTGCGGGACGGCTCGCTCGCCGCCTCGTTCTTGTACTCTCGGTGCGTGAAATGCCCGAGGAGAAGAACACGGACTGGGAACAGCATCGGAATGCTGCGTGTCCGGAGATTGCGGGGCGGGCAGTCGCCTGGTGCTGTGGCTTACGTGTTTGTTCATTTTCAGTCTTGTAACTGAGCTCGTCCCTAGGAACAGGTTAACTGAGGATTATAACAGTGCTGAAATTCTACTGACTGAAGAGATAGGACTCAACATCTGATTTCTTATGTTCTTTTATTAGTGAGAAATACAAGAGCAGCTCCTTCTGTGTAGTCTCAGTGACATTCTCAGTCTCTTATCTGGAGTTATTGTCATTACAGCCTTGTTCTAAAATTTCAGTGTTTCAGGTCAGAATCTTCTTCTTCGTATTTTCTGGTAATCTCTGTCTCGTGAGCACCAAGGCTGCTACTGCAGGAGTGGTTCTTTGTTTTGTAAATCCTTGAAGGTCAGTGTTACCCAAAATATGTACTCACAGTAGCAGAAAAGTAAATTATTTTTTTTGTTGTGCACTGGAAGGGACCTTTTCTCCTTTTGGAAAACTTTCCTGGCCATTTCTCTTATCTTATTTTCCATTAGTCTTTTGTTCATGGAACACCAGGAAAAGGAGCACAAGTATCCTTATTAAACTAGTTTATAGGTTTGACTGACTTACAGTAGTAAACCAGACTTTGAAAAATCATGTTCAGGAAAGGCAGAGCTCAGGCAAAAATAGAAAAAAAGCCTACAGCTTTGGACCGAAGAGTTTGTACTAATTCCATGTAGTTTTATAACAAAGTCTTGTGTTCTTAGGAAAGACATTTGATTGAAATAAGGAAAATAGTTTACTTTGATGTGATCTAACCTGCTCCCTTACAGGATTAACTTCCTTTCTACTAAGCAAAACAGGGGAACCATGTCAGATTTGGCATTCCAAATGCAGGAAAGTATTAAAAGTCTTGGTGACTTTCTGCTTAAATCTTGCATTATGATATTCTTCTTTTAAAGCTTTAAAAAATTTCATTAACTGTAATTGTAATCAGCCAAATATCAAACAGAATAGCATCTCTACTGGACAGAATGGTATCTCTCCAGTGGCCTACCATTGCTGTAAATTCAGCTGTGTCAACATATTTTCATTGGTCATTCTTTGGGGCTTTCATTCTACATTAGTCAGTATTGGATGGGTTCTTTTGGCCACCCATGAGTATAAGCTGTGTTTAGTGTGCATTGTACAGGATGCATTTTCTCACTGCTTTTACTCTAGATGCAATTTACGTGTTGAATTAAGACACCTGCGTCTGTAGATTTTTCCTATACAATGCCAAATACCCACCAGTTACTATGTCAGCCTGTAAAGTGTAGTTGTGAGTGCACGGGAATAGGAAGTTTCTGTAATAAGAATGCAGTATATGGTAATAGAAAAAAATATTCTTATTGCTAGCACTGCATACTCAGTGTGTGGTCTGATCCATCTATCTGTCACACTATTGTCAGAAGCGTCAGAATTGGTTGACAGATCTCTTGTGGGGGATCAATCTGCAGACCCTGTAGAGGTATGGAAGAATAAGCTTGATTTGGGAAGGAATAAAATTGAATAAGAGACATTGAAATAAAGGACAAATACAGAAGCAGATGCATTTTGTGCTGAGTTTTAGATATCTCACATTAAGCACTGTATTGTGAACACAGTGAAGATTAGTTTGTGTGTTTTTCTTTTTTGGAATCTTGTACTGTCAATGCAGGTTTAGCTGTAAGTAGTGGGAGGGGGCATCAGTGTTGTATGAGTTTAAGTGTGGCAAGAGGAGGCTATTTTATTGTCATTCATCATTTACAGCAAGTACTTCATACAAGTTTTATGATACTGCAAGATCTATTTTACGACACTATTTGGCACTAAAAGATTGTTGGAGGGGACTTCTGCTTTCATTTGTATTGTTTTGGAGTGAAAATCGTCCCTTCCTCCAAGGGTAAGGGTGAGGTTGGGCAACATGGACCTTCAGGTGATGTACAGGCTGCATCGTTGCTAAACATTTACATCTTTCTTTTTTTCCTCTTTCCCTAGTCCTGGAGATTGACTTCTCAGAGCTTGTTCTGGAGGAAATCATTGGCATAGGGGGCTTTGGAAAAGTGTACCGAGCTGTGTGGATAGGAGATGAGGTTGCTGTCAAGGCAGCTCGCTACGACCCTGATGAGGACATCAGCCAGACCATTGAGAATGTCCGCCAGGAGGCCAAGCTCTTTGCGATGTTAAAACACCCCAACATCATTGCCCTCAGGGGCGTGTGTTTAAAGGAACCTAATCTTTGCCTGATCATGGAGTTTGCCCGTGGAGGATCACTAAATAGAGTGTTGTCTGGTAAAAGGATACCTCCTGACATACTAGTGAACTGGGCAGTACAGATTGCGAGGGGAATGAACTACCTGCACGAGGAAGCGATTGTTCCCATAATTCACCGTGACCTGAAGTCCAGCAACAGTAAGTGTTACACAGTGAACAATCGGGGTGCTGGGGTATGGGTTTGAAAAGAAATCATACAAAGAAAAAAGAGGAGTAATGTTAACTTAGTGATCCTTTCTTGTGAACCACTGTATCCTCTAATTTAATCCCAGAGGGGTTTATTTTTAAATAGTATGGTGCTACAGACTGCAGGAAACATATAAATACTTTCATTCTGTATAAGCAACTTAACTGATTGGATGCAAAAGCAATTGTAAATGAAGCATGCTTCTCCAGTAGCTAATATACATACATAAATACTGTCCAGTTTTATTGGCGTTTCAGCAGACTTCTGTGTGCTGGAAAGTCTTACTGAACTTGAAATGTGTATTCTCTTTCCAGTTTTTGGAAGGGTAAATACTCCTCCGTTAAGATAAATGATCCCAAGCTTTCATTTACTTGCTAGATTTTGTTGTATAGGTGACATGCAAGCTTGTTTTCCTTTTGGGAGATTTAACCCATCCCAGCTGAAATGAATCTTCTCTTTATCCATCATAGAGCTGGTGCTGAGAGAAGGATTACTTGGGTAAATAAAATGTCCTTGTACACGCTTGATTTCAGCTGATGTTTGTGATGCTTTACATGGGATGCAGCTGAGCCATTATAGAACATGGGGATTGAACTTTGGTAGTTAGGATTGTGGGAATCGTGGTGATTTTAGCTACTCTGTAATACCAACAGCATTAATGTCTGTCACTTGGGTATTGTTCTGGTAGTACGTCTCTTTTCACAGACTTGAAATTGCCTTGAATTCAAACACACATATAGAACATTAAGAGTGTGGGAGCGAATTATTGCAGTAGTTTAAAGCTCATAATTTCCTTTCCTGATGCCTTATGCAGCTGATTAGCCTTTTTCTCTGCTTGGCTATGTCTAGATGGTAAGAGCAAACAGATACTTGCATGTTGGCTGTGGTGGTTTAGGCTGGTGTGTTAGTATGAACTCTTGTTCATTTATGGCTTGAGTTAAAAAGGAGCACTGTGACCTGGGTGGCTGAGATGCAGGCATATGTTCCCTTTTGCTTTGAGGGCAGTGATATTAGCGAAGAGGTCTGACAGATGGGAATTTTAATATCTTAAATAGATTCAAATGAGCTAGCATTAACTATTAAAATGCTGTAAATTTCCAGGCCTTGCAGAATCTTCTCATGTTTCTTTTGCCTCAAATGCTGTGACAGTGAATTTATATGGTTTGTTGTGAAGGTGTAAAAAAAGTATTATTAGTTCTTGTTAGTGAGTTTGCAGATAGGAACTATGAGAGCTTTCAAATTAGCTTCTACAATATTAGTCTTACACTAATAAAGTTTCCCTTTTTGTTAGAGTAAGGCAATCTTAATGTTTATAAAGATGCCCTTATACCTAAACCCTCCCTTACAGATGGCAGTATATATGGGCATGTTGATAAATGCTGTAAAATTAAGGAATTATTTGCTTAATTAATGGATTACTGGCTGCATCTGTGAATAAGAAATAATTGCCTTTAAGTGTTGCACCTTTCCTCCTTACCAAAGAAAATATTTACTTGCTTATTTTACTCACAGGCCATTAAGACTTTATTGCTTAGTGCTAGCTGAACATTTTTGAGGTTTAGAATGAAAGGTATTTCTAAGATGAAGAACTGCTAGCTAAGGGTATTTCACTGTTTTATTCAGAGCAGAGACTGCTAGCTGTTAAAGGGAAACATATCAACAAGAGAACCAGACCAACTGGAGGGACACTGGTGCACAATGTTGCCAGTCAAACAGATACGGATGCTAGAAAACATCTGTACCGTCAGCAGCAAGAGTAAATGTCTCTTGTCACAATGAATCAGCAGAGCATAATTGTGTTGCACTGTAAATTGTCAGTGAGAAGCTGAGAGCTTTGCTATATATATTGCTTTAATTTCCCTCATTTGAGAGGAAGCAATAGTAAGGAAAGAGGAAGAATGAGTGGGAATGCATATGGGAGGATTCAGAGATGTCCTATGTTTGTAGGGGAAAGGTGGTCTTGACCAAAGATAACACCAAATCTAGTACAGAAATGATGGGTATATGGAAAATTCTATCCCACCTAAGTCTGGAGCAAGCAGCATTACATTCGGGAAGGTAAACAAATAGTAGGAGCTGATACTGGAGGGAAGAACTTGAGATATTTTAAGGAAAATTGATTGTTCTGCTTCTCTCTTTTGAAATAAGATGAATTAGTAACCTTGAGTATGGGCTTGAGATATTACAACATCTGTTTACTTTATTAAACAAAGCAGAGTTCCTCATTCTGGGCTGTTTAGTGGAAGGGATGTTTTAAAATATATATGTTCTTTTTAGAGTGAATCTATAGAGCAAGTATCATAAATAGTAGATTATGACAACGGTGGAGCTTTTTTATGGGGATAGGGGATTGTAGGTCCAAGTCATGTCTTTCTTGATTGTTCTGTCACTGCATTGCTCAAATCCCTTTTCCATTATATGTAATAAGCATCTTTGAAATTTCTCTGCTCTGTTTTCTGTGGAAGGCTTTCTGCTAGTTTTGTAAAGATTAGTGGACTAAGTATGTTGTTATTGCATCCTGATTTTTATATAGCTTGCATATTCTCTATTTTTCTGATGTGCTTAGTTTTCCTGATTACTGTAGGTAATCAAGAACGGGTTTTCTGCTTAGCTTTGTTCCTGCAGAATTACATGGATGTAGCATGTTCTTAGCACAAGTTACCACCCACCTACTGATAGGCAGTAATGTGTCTCTGGTGAGGGAACAGCTTCTGCTTGCAAGAACTTGGAAGTGATTCTTGCAGACACATTTCTTACAATGTACTAAACATCTGTAAGAACTGTAGAGCTTTCATGGGAGCATCAGCTGTGCTGATCTACTGATTAGTACTGCCGATGTTGAGAAATAGTGATTCTCATACATCTCATCTTGCACCAGCTGGGACCTACACTATGCACCTGAAGCTGCAGGATGAGTTAGTTTGGAAGTTAGGGAACAATATGGGGGAGTGCAAAAGAAGAGAGTTTCCTTATTCAAAATCAAGTTTTCTACTGGAATAGAAGAAAATGAGAGAATGCCTTGTTTTCAGATGTCTACCTATATTTCAGCAGATAGAGAATGCATAAGGACTTCATGTTGAATCTTTTAGGATCACATTATATTTTGAACAGTAGTGTGTCAAATGGGCACATTAATACAAGTCTGAGAAATTACTCAATTATATAAGGATTTGAAAAAAAGTCCTTTTTAATTTAAACTATTGCAGCTTTGTGGACTCAAATAGTACATACCAAAATAATAGTTGTCAATGTTTCTGATGGTGTAAATAAAGAATATAGGAGTTTGATTACTTTGAGAACTAACTTTGTCTTGTACAGGGACTGAACTTTAGGGGATTTATTTGACAATTCCAGAAGATGCCTATTTCGTGAGATTCTCCTTGCCAAAAAGCATGCCAAACCAAGTTGTCCACCTTTTTTGGTTAAAAGAAGGAATCTTTTTCAGTTCCATCCTTTTTCTTAATTTTTTTTTTCATTTTCATAACTTTACATTTACTGCTAATACATTTAGAGAGTAGAAAAGGTGCCCTTGAAGTTTACTACTGTGTTTGTTTGAGGCAGATTTATTGTAAATCTTGGAGATTCTGGGGGCTACCTGTTGCATTTGGGGATGCTAGCAGGAAATGAGTACATAAAGGTCTTTACAGAATAAATTGCACACCTGTGATTTATTTTTAGAGTCCCTGAAATTATTTTTTTGAGTGTCAGTTCAGTCAGCAGTGAGTTTGGTAGGCAGGTGTTCCAGTGGCATTACCAGCAGTCATTTAAACTACACAAGAGAAGGAAGATAATTTGGGTAAACTATTTGGTTCTGCTGCATGAGGAGATAAGTATTTCTCTTTTTTTTTTTGGCATTTGATATAAGGGATTCAATTTATTCTATATGAAATTTAATCTTATTAGTCTGACAGAGTCCTCACTGGCTGCTTCTCCTTTCTTCATCTGGTGATATTGCCAACCTCTTCTTCTTTAGCTGCGTGTTGGTGAACCATTTGAGCGTATGTTACAGAATTGGTACTAGTTTTTTTCCCAGTGTGAAGGCACCTAAATAATCTAAATGCTGAGCTATAGAAAAAAAACAACTGGAAATGCCAACTGAAGTCAATATCACTGTGTTTAGCACAGCTCTTAAGAGTTTCCCTTCCTTTTATCTCTTACCTGTGATTTGAGTCTCATTTCTGGCCAGAGGAAGGTGCTTGGCACATAATGCTTAGGATCAAAAAGGACAGTCCTGTTGGTTTTATTGAAGTACTGTAAATAATGAAGCTAGTCCTGTTTGTTTCTGTTTGTCTGTCAATGTCAGATATGCCAGTGCTGCTGTAGGACTAATGCCAGATAACTAATACTGCAGAGAACTAGCAAAAGCGTTATTTGCTCCTTTTTTGACTGTCTCAGCAAAGCTTATTTGTTATTTACACTGCATTGAAACATTTTGCTGAGGACGTTCATGCCAGTTACAAAGTGCTTTTTTAAAAGTCACCATGGTTGTGTTCCACAAAGTGGCACAGAAAATAAGCAGCAAAGTGGCGTGGCCAAGGTCAAAGAAAGAGATAAGGACAGAGCTCAAAATAAACCCCAGTTCTGAATCAGCCAAGTCATTAGTTCTTCCTTTCTAGTTCTTTGAAGTCTTCACCTCTCCTACTTCTGGACCACTAAGGTAAGCTTTGGTATCCTGCTCTTCCAAGTTCTAGCTTCATAAAGAATTCCAAACTCTACCTATAGCTTTGCTTATTTGATGTAGTGCCTTTTTCTGTTCATAAAGATGCCAGTATAGCTGACTTTCACATGGATAGTTTTTCCTAGAACTCACAATATTCCTTGGAGTTTTTTTTTTGTTTTGTTGGGTTTTTTTCTAAGTATAGACAGATTTTAGACACAAGTAGTTCAAATCCAACTCAAGGACAGTAGGACTTCAGTGTTACATATTGGTAACATTGGATTTATCTCATTC